CATATTGGTTCTATTTCTTGTCTTCAGACCCTCACTCATTGCGCAAAAGAGATGACTTATCCGTTAAGGACCATCATCTTATAAAGTGAGTTTCCTTTTACATACTAATTGACCTTATAAATTGATCTTTTGAGCATTCATCAGTAAAAAACATGCATTCTTATACACAGCTTGCTTTATCACTAGATATTAAGAGCTAACAAAAAAAAATGTAAGTGTGGTAAGCAATAAAAGTTATAATTTTAAATTGCAAAAATATATTTGTATTATTCTTACGATATTTTTGCATACCACTTATACTTAAACATCTTTTTTTATAATCAAGTTGTTAGACCAACCTCTCTTAAATAAAAGACTTTCCTATCTTGCATTTCATGAGACCGACCATGCATGATTTTACTATGATTAGGTGGGTTTAGATGGTAGCCCTTTTCTAGGCATGGTTGTAAGTCTATTAATGTCTGGCCTTTTTTATCCTATTTGAGAATGGATATAAGTCATTTTTTTTTGCTACATATTTTCTCCCTGAACTAGGTTTTGGGGTTCTTCTTCTAGAAAACTTCACCAGTAGTCTTGGGATTCAGAGGTCATTCATCTAGTTATGACATAAATCCTCTTATCCTAAGATTTTTCATGATCATATATCGTGTGATGTATGTCCTAACATCCTAATAAAATTCCAACTTGAATATCAAATAAATCTCTTTCAAAATCAATAAAGTCAAATAATATGATAGTTGAAATGTCAATAAGCTTCTCAATATCTTTATCTTATTCTACATTTTTTTTGGTTATGTGAATAAGTGTTCCACTTTTAAACTTTCCTATTTGATATTCCTAATAATCAATCGTGAAAATTTAAACTTTAAAATTTTCTGAAGATAAAACTACATCCTTAGTCTAGATTTTTCTTAAGGAGTTTTGTTGCTTATGATGTAACAAACTATAGGAGCTTGACCTTATAGAAAGTCAGCAACCTAAATTAATCTAAACCCTATATAATCTCTGGAATAGGTAGAGAAAAGATATGTTGGTTCCAACGCAAACCATGCAAATCTCCAAAATCATTTATTCAAATAATTTAGTTTATTATAAAGTGATATTTCTATCTTTCAAGATAATATTTTATTTTTTGATGTCCTGTTTGATTATTTAAACAATTAAATATTTGAGATCTACATATCTGGTTTCTTTTCTTTACAAAACTAAAAATAAAACAAACAATGACATAAGGAAAAAAAGGATCTCTTTTATGGAGGATAATTTCTCTATCAAATATAGAGAAAAAATTATGGAGTCATCCCAACAAGAAGCTAAATAACAATATTGTTGACTTTGTCTACTTTTTATTTGACTACCTCTAGCTACATGATAAAATTTTGTTTATAATTAAAATTTATTTGAAGGCAAATTCAATAACTATTCTTCAGTTACCGCAAAATCCCCTTAATTACCTTTTCAATTGTGGTCAGATTGCTTTCCTCATCAGAAATATAATGACCTCTCACTCCCGGAGGAGGAGCATCATACATGTAAGCTGTCAAAACAAATCATAAAAAATAAGTTATTAAATGCTTCATTAACTCAACCTATGCTAATGTTAATCTGAATATTTTAACAAATAGTGAATAAGAGCTAAGTATGATTGAGCATTCTCTTCACTTGTAGTCTAAAAAACTCTTCCCCTTTAAATACAACTTCTTCAAAATGAACAAACTCTTCTCCTCTTTGGCAATTAGTGCCAATTTTGAAGCCCTATTTGTTGGGAATGATTAAGTTTGAGTAATGATTGGCCACTTATCCTTGCTTGCGGTATAACAAAACCTCACCTTCCACTTCTTGACTTTGCTCTATAAGCCTTTTAATCTCAAAGAATAGGATGAATCCATCCAAGTATGTTTTTATTATGAAGAAGTGACATATTAGTAACATTAATCATAAATTCTTTTGCTACTGCACGTACAAAAGCAATGCTATGATTCCTGTAAATAAATTCTACAACACTTATGCTAGGATGATATCGTGGAATTTGAATATACCCACTAACTCATTGTGAAAAGGAAGTTGTAACCACAAAGTAAATTGGACATTGTAGAAGAGGAGCTCATCATCATACATCATATTTGGCAATTCACCCTTTTTGTCTGCATTAAACTTTATCAAATGATCAAACATAAACTTGAACTATGTCATATTTTTATTAGCATCATAAAGTATGGATTGAGAGGAGAACTCAAATTCCATAAAATCATAGCTAAATTGATGAATTTTAAACCTATTTTTATCTAGAAATTTGAGAGAGAAGATGAAAATAAAATCAAATTATAGAAGTCATAAAAAATCCTAGGGTTTTTGAGAAGAAAAAGGTTCTAAGAATTTAAATTAACTACCTTATTAAAGGCAAAGGAAATGACTATAAGAGAAATACATAAAAAGTCAAAAAAAAAATATTTTTTTAAAATTTCACTTAATAACACAATATAATTAAAGTCATCACATCAAAATATAAAACTATTTCATTTTATTTATTTGGAAAAAAATGTTACAATCATTAAAATTATTCACTAAGGGTGACTTTCTACATTCATTAAAAAAGGTAAAATGAATTACAAGCATGTTTCAAAAAATGGCTTATAAGGAAACTAAATCACTCTATGTCAAGCCCTGTAATACAAACTTGTCGCTTGCCATGAACTAGGAGCTTGCACCCATGTTGGTCATTCATATTTTCATCTTATCATAAGATTTTATCAGCTCATATAGTTGTTGTAGTATTTCGCCATTATTTTATGTAGATGTCATATTCAAGCTAATTAATTTTGAGAAGAGTTCTTAATCTTCCTCAAGATTTTAGCATCCATGCCTATCTATAGAGTCACTGAAGTCATCATGTATACTTCTTAAACTATTCTTATTGACAATAAAGTGGCAAATTTATTCACATTAGCATTGTGCACTGTAACAATTACCACACGCTTCCCCCTTTCAGTTCAAACTTGCTTATCATAAAGGGCATCTATAACAAAAAAAAAAAAAACACAATTATGAATACTTCAATAAAGTCATTTTCTAGGAAGAAATATTCCAAAAGATTATGCATTTAGTGTGTGAATTCTCAATTTTGTTCTTAGAGCCACCATGAAGCATTTACCACATTCAAGTTTAATTGACTAGCCCATTCAACGAAGCACACTAGTCAGCATATCATTCATCGCTTATAAGTTTGCTAAAACATGAATGTGATTATAAAACAAGCTCAAACACATTAGAATTCTAAACAAATTAATTATTAAAGTAATTAATAAAATTTAACTATACCTTTTGAACGAGATTTAATTTGAGCACGAATTGACAGTCTGCTCAGTCCTTTGAACTTGTCAAATTAGAGGGTATAGACTCTAATGTAACTAAAGCCACTTTAGTAGATGGTAGATACTCAACATGTGAAGATGACATAGAAATTGCATACTCATTCATAGGAAGAACAAAGGGTGGTAGGTCTACTGCAGTTCAAGCCTTCACTGGGGCTGGAAGATCAACATGATGAAAAGTAGAGGAAGTTTTCTCTTAGAGAATCCCAATTATTTTCTTTTCAATTCTCCTTTTATCTTTCTTCCTCTCGGATTCTCTTTCTTTCTTATGTCTCCAAAATAATACCTTAATAAGGTTGCTTTGGGAATTATGATATTCTCTTTAGGATCCCCTCCTTCTTTCACAACAAAGAGAAAAAATGTCAAAATAATACCTTAATAAGGTTGCTTTGGGAATTACGATATTCTCTTTAGGATCCCCTCCTTTCACAACAAAGAGAAAAAATGCAAGGGATGAACACGAAGAGAAAGAAGAGTTTGACAACAACACCTTATTGAAAATTTTTCAAATTCTAACTATTGAAGGATAGTAGGGGACATGAATTACAAGGTTATCAAAATATCATAAATAATTTTATTTAGATACATTTATTATTAAATTAAATATAAATTTTCATTCTCTTATCCTTTTTTTCAATTCTCTTTTTTATATTAGTTTTGAAGCCATATCCCAATTTTGAAGTAATTCATATATGTTATCTTACATATAAATCTGAGTTCCTCAAATGATTTATTGAAAGTTGCTCTTAATCAAGAAGTAGAATTAAAATAAAATTAGATCTAAGCAATTTTAATATCGATAAAGACAGATAAATAACTTCGATAAAAAGATTCCTTAAATTAAACATAAATAAATATCCATTAATTTGGCCCAAAAAGCATTTTGGAGTTATTTTTCCTAATATAAATATAATAGTATTAATAGTATAAAAATATGAAATATGAGGAGTAAATCGTCAAATATCGAAATACTCTACATAATTTTTTTCTAAATTAATTGTGATGTAAGAATTTATAAAAAAAGATAAATTAAACATATTTTTTTCATTGTTAAATCTTAACTTGTCTTTCCGTATTACACGCTCTTGAGTTAGAGATGAGATGAGAATACAGAGAAGAGAGACATAGTGTAGAGATAGAGAATGTCCCCACGTTTCATTCTTGTCCTGACCTACTTATAGGGGTCTAAAATATTGTGATAGGAAAGAGGGCAACAGTTGATCGGCATGTTTGTCCCCACGTTTCATTCTTGGTGAGAGGTATGTCAGTCGATTTTGCTGTGCAGTCGATCGATTGCTTGACCAGTCTACATCTCACTCTTTGGCTCAAAACTTCAGTCATCTAAGACTCCACTTCGAGTCGTTTGATTCCTTTGAGATTCGTGGCATTTTTGCTCTACACATTCACATCTTGAGGAATAATGATTAATTTAGACAAAAATTTAACAACATTATTCTCTTGTTAGAATACAATTGCTATGCTTTCAAAACTGAAGTTAAAATCATTTATCTCCTTAATTTCATTTATCTCTTTAATTTTCTAAATTGATTGTATGATGAATTGTTATTGAAATTTTAAAATTACCCTTTTTTTCCCACCATGCAATTTGAAGACATATCGACCAATAATTGGCTTTGGCTTTATCCATACATTACGCACGGACTGCACACAGCTGGAGAGTAGAAATGTGCTCCACTATCTCTTCAGCTGTTGCCACCACTGCCACTGCTACGGCGGCCCTTTTCCTCCTCAAACCCCCTCG